TATGGGCCAGTCTTGACAGACTCTAGGGTTGTGCGCTCATCTCACTCTAGAGGCCGGGAGCCAGCGCTGTCCGCAGACACTTCCGGGTCACGTGGCCAGCGTGACGAAGCTGCACCGGCGAACCGGCACCAGAGCAGCACACGGAAACGCTGTTTACCTTCCCGCTATAAAGCGGTACCTATTTATCTACTTGCACTTAAGGGTGCTTTCGAACTGCTAGGTGGGCAGGAGCTGGGACCGAACGATGAGAGCTCACCCCGCCGCGGGGATTCGAACCGCCGACCATGCGATCGGCAAGTCCTAGGCACTGAGGTTTTACCCACAGCGCCAACCGCGTCCCTATTCATAGTCGTACATATGACTAATTTCATCAATGTTGAATATAAGAGCCTATAACGTTTTGTCCACTAAATTAAGGAAACAGAAATGTGTCCAAAAAGTAGGTAGCATTCATCCTGTCTTGACAGACCCCCTTAAAAACACTTCTGAATTCCCTGACCAGCAGCATATATAAGGCGTCAGCAAATGAGAAATTGAAATACAGTAGAGGAAGAAGCAATGCAGGATTCCAACAATTAAAGCTTTCCAATCTTGAGACTTCTTCCCTATTGGCAATGGGTCTGGCTGCTAACCAGAAGGCTGGTGATTGGAGCTCACCCAGGACGGCTGTGGCAGGGGGTTGGACTAGATGACCCTCAGGGTCCCTTCCAACTCCACAATTCTAATCTATGTGCAGTAAGGACAGGTCCACCAGCTTCCTTTTTTTGCTTACACGATACTGTGTAACTCATTAGAACTGGCACCGATAGAAGCCTGTTTTACATAACCTGATTTTGTTCATTTATTTTGCCAGTCTTGGTTGTAGGTTGCAACCCTCACAACATGGCTGTTTCTTACATTGCATTCCCCTCCTCCCTTTTATCTATTTTAAAATTAATTACCATTCTCTTTTCCTGGAGGCAGTTTGCTTAATTAGGCATAGGGTTAACAAACTAGGTTAATGCGGACAGCAAAAACACTCTCCACTTCAGCCAAATCCAGGCAGCCTTGTGTTGCGAATATTCATAGTTCTCCTGAACTAGAATGAAATCCTAGAACTCACAGTCTCTTTGTTTTACTGCTTATGCATCCAGAAAATTAAAATTGACCAAAACACATACCAAATTAATTCTAATCCCTTATCTTTAGACTCTAATTCTTACAGATAGCATACATACTATCATTATAGTTTCTGAAAACAGGCTTTGTTATCATTTTGCAGAGTAGGGAGAAGCTCCGAACATTATTTTGGTTTAGCTTTTGAATAGTTTATTTGGTATGCCTTCAAATCAATGGCTAAACAATACATCATCACTAGTGAAAAGGACAACAGTCATATGACTTATCTGCATGCTTTGACAGTAAGGAAAGTATGATTGAACGCTACCTGTGCTATAAATTGCCATGGAGTTAGTGTGAAATAAATTGCTGTTCCTATCTCTACAGAGCCCCTGCATTGCATTTTAAAAACTAAAATAATAATCCTTAAGATTTTACCTTTAAGTAATTTTTACTTCATAGGAATAGCACCATAGCTTTTCTACTGGTTAATTAAACCTGCAGTCCACACTTGCTAGAGTCGCATTGAAGTCAACAGGGATTACTTCTGATTAGGCACGTATAGGATTGTACTGTAACTGTTCAATACATTAGTTGAAACCATGACTGATTCCAAATCCAATGTAATCACTCAGCCAACAAATTTACCTCCTAGGGCAATGCCTGCCCTTGTTGAGTTTGGGTTCCCATGATTTTTCACAGTGGAACATGTGGTTTGGCAGCTTTGTTCTGTACTGCTGTTGGGTATGTTGATTTCTCCTTTGCCCACTAATTTAACAGTGCATTCAAATCTGGGAAGGACTACACTATTTCATACTCAAAGTGCTATGTGCATTTTATTGTTCTACAACTGCAACTATGTTGAGCTTTGGGGGTGGGGGGAATCCCACCTGCTCTATAAAGTTAATGTTACTGTTTGGTCTCCTGGTCCTCATCTGACCTGCATTCATTACAGTTACACTACATATATAGGACTATGTGTTTTTATAGTGGTATGGCAACTCTCCTGTGTTTGCCTTGTGTATAAAGGGACTCCACTAGCCATGACATTCTGTACATAGTTTTAAATTTAGAAATCTTCAATAGTAATCACTCTGGAGTAAAATAAGCTTGTAAATAATACTGCTGCAGCTCAGCTGGTGACAGCAAAAGGCCATTGACCCTTTAATCCTTTCTAAACAATCCTGTTCTTTTTGTAGGTCAGGCAATAAATGAGGCTTCCTCAGCCTAGTGTTACAGATGATCACTAATATGGAGAGCATTCTGGCTGTCCTGAGAAAATTCTCTGAAATGGCTGCACTACTTGAGAAAATGAAATCCTAGAGTGGCTGGGGAAGCCCAGCCAGATGGATGGGGTATAAATAATAAAATTATTATTATTATTATTATTATTATTATTATTATTATTAACCCTCTCTACATGCACAAATCCATACTATACTGTGTTGGATCTGAAATTGTTCCTCACCCCTCAAATTTAGACTTTCCGTTCTGGAACTTTCTCCAACAGGGTGCCCTCCCAGTGTTGTATTTGGCTGGGGCTGATGGGATTTGTAGTTCCATAACATCTGGAAGGCACCAAGTTGGGGGAACACCATTTTTAATTTCAGCACCTAGCCAGATCCTACGAAAAGTTCACAAGCAGAACATGATCATGATATCTATCTCCTGGTAACATTTTGTTTATTTGTGTTTGTCTTAAACTTGCTACATATCAGCTTCAATACAGAACTTATTTTGAGAATGAATATTCCCACCCCTAAGCATCACAAAAATATACATTTTTGTTCTTTGACACATGTTAACCTCATCCACAGCCCATTTTATCATCTAATACTTTATTTGATTTCCCTGTTTGATTTGAACGCCTGCTTCAATTGTTGTTCTCTAAAGCAAACCTTCTCCACCCCGCCCCCAACAACTAAAAAGTATTAAATTCCTTAGGGCTCTGTTTGAGCCATGACTCAGTCCTGAAAAATCAACATCAAGGTTTGACAAAGGGATCTACAAAACAATATAATGAAGAAGGGTGCCTGTGTTTCCAAATACATGAAGAGGACATTGTCCTTGAAGGCTGCAATCATATGATTAGCTTCTTGTGAATAAGCCTCATGGGGTTTACTTCCTTGTAAACATTATACGGTCCAGATGAATCTTGGGAATCTTGGTTGGCTCCTGTTTTTCTAGCCTTGCAGTGGCAGCTAAATCATACTTTCCCCTTTGTACTGCATCTTACTACCACAACAGCCTTTATCATCCTTCCACCCCATCAATTGCATTCATTAATTCCATCTGCATTCCAAAAAGCACTGCTGCATCTTTCATTTTAGCACGCCTCACCCAGCAAACTCTCTCCCATCTACCCAAGGGTGTAGATCAGCAAGGATTTCTGACATGCAATTGTTTAACAATAGAAAGCCGGGTGCAGAGACAAAAGAAAACTGAGTGTACAAGCACTCTTGACTTTAAGAAAGCTGATTTCAAAAAGCTTAAGGAGCTACTGGGTGATATCCCATGGTCAGAAATACTCAAAGAGAAGGGGGTCCAAGATGGGATTGGAGTTTCTTAAAGGTGAAATACTGAAGGCCCAAATGCAGACAATTCCAACAAGAAAGAAAACTGGGAGGCACCTAAAGAAGCCAGTGTAGTTGCATGAGCTTACAGATGAGCTGAGATTTAGGAAGGGCATGTATAAGAAATGAAAGAAAGGAGAAATCATGAAGGAAGAGTATACCCAACAGTTACAGGGAGGTCAGGTGGGTCAAAGCTCAGAATAAGCCTAGGCTTGCAAAAGAGGTTAAAATTAAAAAATCAAAAGGTTTCTTCTGCTGTGTTCAAAGCAATAGGAAGAATAAGCAAGTAGCAGGTCCTCTATGTGAAGACAGAAAAATGCTGTTGGGTGACAGAGAAGGCAGAACTGCTCAACACTTACTTTATCTCTGTCAAAACAAAAAAAAAATTCCTTCCAGTAGCACCTTAAAGACCAACTAAGTTAGTTCTTGGTATGAGCTTTCGTGTGCATGCACACTTCTTCAGATACACACATCTCTGTCCTCACTCTAAAGGAAAGCAGTGCCCAACCTGGTGATAACAGAATAAATGATGCAGCCCAAGATAGGAAAAGAAGTGGTAAGGGAACACCAAGCTACTTTAAATGAATGCAAATCTCCAGGGCCTGATGAGCTGCACTCAAGGGTACTGAAGGAGCTTCTTGGTGCAATCTTAGAGCCTGTCATGAGAATTCTTGGAGAACAGGTGAGGTCCCTGCAGACTGCAGGTGGGCAAATGTCCCCCATCTTCAAAGGCCTGTCAGCTCTACAATTCTATGAAACACAAATACCTGTACTGGCAGACAGGAACAAAGCCTCAAAGAATCATGAAAACTGTTGTATGACACAACAGAGAGATGGATCAGTCCTGTGCTGCTGTTGTAACTGAACCCATCAAGTCAGCCTGTCAATATGCTTGGCAGGGGCTGTTGCCTGGGGGGGGGGGGTGGAGGCGTGTAGCACCCCTGGCATGCAGGGATTTTGAGCCCCACCCCCAAAGGTAACACCTCTGATAGGAACAACAAAAATTACTTTCCCTATGCTATTAGACTACTGAAATGAAGAAAGGTTAGTGCAACAGGGGATGGAAGGATGGTGAACTTTACTAAATAAACAAATCCCCGAGCTCAGAAGCAACATGTTCTAAAATGCTCCAAACGCACCTGACACCTTGCGTTTCTACCAAAGCGCAACTGTACCTCTTGCAAGTACTAAAACCCACCCTAACTGCCGCTGCCAACCCAACTCCTTCCTCTTCCCGATTTCCCTCCAAACCGAACGAGTATTATTCTTTTGTGGTCCTAAACATTGACGCGACTCTGCGCGTGCGCGAGAGCTGGGGAACTCGCACCGAGGCGCAGCGCGCCTGCGTAGTCGCTTCCCCACACATGCTGGCATTGCTGCTGCTGCTGCTGCTACTGGGAGAGGCAGCTGCAGCGGCTCAGGTTCACCTGCGCGGTCGTGTCTTCTTGGGAGGAGGTAGGTGGCTGCTTCTAGGCTGTGTTTTGCACTGCTCGCTCTGGTGCCTCCCCGCCCGCTTTGCTTGCTGTGGCTGCTTCCCTTGTGCTTTGGCGCTGGGGCGGCGCTTGTTGTGCTTTCGGAACTCCTCGGGTAGCGACTGAGGCGCGACGCCTCTTCCCCTCCGGCCGGAGTATTCCGCGTCTTCCGCTCCCTAGTCTCCCTTCGCTTCCCTGCCTCTATCCCCGGAGAAAGCTGGCGGGAAGGTCTCGGCCTTGTCCTCCCTTTCTCTCCGTCCTCCGGGAGACAATATTGAGGCGCGCTTTGGGGAGGGAGGGGTGCGGGTGCCCTCCTAAGGCTACCTGTCGCTTTGGTTCCAGCTCTTGCTGTGCGTATTGGGGGCTTTGCATCCTGGGCCCCTTCGGGTGATGCAGGTTTGCACCGTGCCCGTCTCAGCTGTGGGAGCTCAGCCCGCCGCCCGAGGGCAGGGTGGGGGGAATGCAATGCAGGGAAAGGAGAAAGGACACCTAGCGGATTGCTCGTATCCGACCACCAGTTAAGTTAGAGTAAACGGCGTCGTAGTAGACTCTCCGTGGGAGAGTTACTTGGAGAGGATACGGAGGGTCTACGGTGCTGCTTTAACTCGAGCACTGTAAGGAAAGGGGAATTGCCTGGGGACCGAGTGAACAGTTTAAGGCTGCGATCCTAAATAGGAAGCCCCGTTGAACTTCCCTCTAAATGTTCATTTGGGATCGGGCTGTCTGTGAATCTCCCTAGGATAGGCAATTCCACCAAAGGGCCGTTTTCACTCTTTCCTCCATTTTCTCCAGTGTGCGTGTGCTGTTCTTGTTTTTCTTTGGAGAAAGGGGGAAATGTGCCGAAGGCTATTCATATAAACAGAAGCATTTGTGCCGTTTGCAGGCAATTCCAGGAGAGTTAATGAGCAGCCGCGCTAGGCTTCCCTGCTTGACGGGAGGATTAATAGTTTTTAGTGTTTTTCCATTCAGATCTAACTACCGTTGTATCTAGACTGGGCTGTCTTCGCATGGTTTAGAAATTGTCATTTTAACCGATGGAAGATCGTTACTAGTTAAAACGCACACTGCAGCCGTATTGTTAGCGGGTAATCTTTCCCACACGTACATAAAAGGAGGCAGCCCCTTGCCTTTTGTGATGGCCTCCTTAGTTACTGTTTTTATTTTTGAAGGTGAGGGATAGTTTATGTTTAAAATGGGTGTGTGTGTGAGGGGGTGCTAGTGTATTTCACTGAAGGTAATTCCCCATAATTGAAGTAACTGTCCTATTCAACAGATTAAATAAGGCACTGAGGAAATATTTTTGAAGCTGGTTAATAAACATGTTTCATATAGTAGAGGAAATTGTTTCTATGTTGCTTGATTCAAGAGATGTTTCTCTTTGGAGAGCAGCTGTGCTTTAAAGCTAAATTAAAATCCTAAATTTGCACCTGGGATTGATTGCTGTGTTGGGCCAATTACCAGTTACAAGTTGGTTTAAGTGGTAACTAAATCATCTCTAACATATGTATGATAAGTACAGTAATTGACTGGTGCAGTTATTTAAGCATGCACCCCTGTGATGCCCTGGAGAGTGTCCCAAGCGCCATAGGATATATAGGAGCCTCTTGGCCATGGTTGAAGGTAGAGCTTGATGTCCAGTCCGGCCCTCTACTGTTACCAGAAAATAAGGGGGTTCCTTTTGATGGCCCAACTGCCCAGGTTCATTACCTGTCAAAGATGAATGAGCTGAGGCAGAAATCAAGTGAAGGCAATGAGCACTTTTCTGGTAATACCACCACCACAGAAAGCCAGCAATGCCTTGCCCTAAGTGACTTTGGAATTCCCAAGATTGGTAGTGCTGAAAGGGACATGTTAAAGGTTGTTCGTTCGGAGACATGTCAGGAGAGGACCAGAAAATCATCTGCTTCCTAGTCCCCTAATATCCCCCCTGACTTAGAGACATTTTAGACCAGGTCTCCTTTTCCTTCATTGTTCCCAGTGAGAGAGTAAATGTAAAGTAAACTTCTCTTTGCCAGTGTGATCCAGACAAAGCTAAGGATGGTCAATTAAACCACCTTTGGATTCCCCTGCTACCCTTAGGGACACACCTTTAATTGCCCTCATGCTTCTTCACTATCAATTGTTTGTAATCCTACGCATACATACACATTCCATGGAAATAAATGAGACATATTATCTAAAAACAGTGTTTCAAAGTAGGCCATCAACTACTTTTAATATTCTTAATCACTCTCTCACCTATATGTAATACTTTTTGCAAAAATGATATGGATATTTGAGTTCTTTTGTGGCTCAAGATGTTGCTTATTTTCTTTAAGGCTAGTGCTCTGTATGGATGGGGAAAGCTACATACTGTAGTTTACTTGGCTACTGAAATGTTAAATGCTAGTTGGGTTCTACAAAAATAATCTGATATGGAAACGTTCATACAGGTTACTGTTCGTGCGATGCTAGCTATATACATGGAACTTTATAAACAAGTGGATTCTTGCACCTAGTAGGTCTTCCCACCCTGTAAGAAATTATTGTTTGGGTATAGGCACACTGAGCTTCTAAGGTGGAAAAAACCCAGTCAATCTTAAATATGTCTATTCAGAAATGCATCCTGATTAGTTCAGTGGAAGTCACTGGAACTTACTTCTGTGTAAGTGTGTATGCAGTCTATGTGAAATGAGCTGGAGAAAAGTTCTCATAACTATCTAAGCCAGCCTTCCCCAATCTGGTGCCCTTGATAGCTTTTGGACCACAACTCTTATGGTAATTATTCCTGGCCATTGGCCAAGCTGGCTGGAGCTCATGGGAGTAACAAGGGTGTACTTAGTGTTGGCCCTCACCAAGGGTGCAAAAATTCTTCCTCTCTGCTCTGGCTTGGAGTGGCTAGGAGCCCGCTGTTCCACATGCTCCCTAGGCACCTTGGTGGAGCTCCTTGCCAAGGGCACAAGGTGTTGGTTGGGCGGCGATACAGCTCCTTTCCAAGAGTGCATGGGAGCCTATGTAGGCCTCTGGGAGTTGTAGTCTGAAAAAATATTGAGAGCACCAAACTGAGAAAGGCTGATCTAAGGTTGTGCTTCTGAGCTTCGTACAAGCACTTGTTGTAAAGAAGAATGGAGGTGCACTTTTTGGACAGCAGCACCCAATTCCTTTGATTGGTAAGGCTTTTCATAATGCATGTTGCTCTGTCCTCTATTACTTTGTGTCTTCCCTAGTGGATAAATTTCCAGCCAGTGCTTCGGTAGCAAGAAAGAGTGATGGAGTTTTGAACAGTGGAGGATGGTGTAACCTGATTGTACATCATACATAATTTTGATGGGAAATTAAAGCAATCATACATTGATAACAGACCTAGGCTCTGTAGAAATTACCGTATTTTTCGCCCTATAGGACACACTTTTCCCCCTCCAAAAATGAAGGGGAAATGTGTGTGCGTCCTATGGGGCGAATGCAGGCTTTCGCTGAAGCTTGGAGAGCGAGAGGCGTCGGTGCGGATAGCAGCCTGCACCCCGAAGCCTGGGGCGCACTGAGCAGCGCGCCCCGGGCTTCGGGCAGATATCCGCAAGCCTGGAGAGCCCGCGGGAGTTCCCGCCGGGCTCCCAAGGCTTGTGGATAGCAGCCTGTTCTGGGGGCTGGGGTCGGGGGAAGCTCGGGCTTCCCCCGCCCCAGCCCCGCACCTGGGGGAGAAATATATTTTTTTCTTTATTCCCCTCCCCCCCAAAAACCCATAGGTGCGCCCTATGGGCCAGTGCGCCCTATAGGGCGAAAAATGCGGTAAATCACCTCTTCTCACCTCTGTTGAGGTATGACAATATAATAATTACAATTGAACTGAACACTTAAAGCCACGTCTTGTAATCTCTTCATACGTGATTATTTAAAACAGGCTCAAATATGTTTACAAATTTGTAGCTGTTGATTCTCTGAAAATAGGAGACTGCTGTTCAGAAGCCTTGCTGCAGGGATGATTCAGTATAAATAAGTTGGCAATGGTACATTTTCTTCATTGTAAGCAGGATAATCTCATGAAGGGTATTTCTACAGGTCAGTTGCATGGTTTATGACCTTGACTGCAGTAAAAGCATACTAACAGCTCTCATTTCTCCTATTTCCCCCCCTAGTCCAGAAGTCTCCCGTATATTTGTGTTCGCTACCCATTTCTCATCATTTTAGTTTATATGTTCCAGAGTAAGCTTGACAACATTTATTGGATTTCATGCTAATTGGTAGCCAACCCTCTTGCCACTGCTCCTGGTGTTAATAGCCAAAATCAGATCACAATAATGTTTAGCTACTGCAAGTAATGGCTTATTTTATTCTTCCAGTAACCAGCAAGTATTTTCATCATGGCATGCCACGCTTCTGGTGACTTTGCAATAAGGAATAATATTCACTCTTAAATGGAGATCTTAAATGAGTTTTCAGAAGTAAACATAATAAAGGCACTTAGCAAGAGGAGAACACCATACTCACTTCATTATTTTTCAACCTACAAAAAAATGAAATCACTTGCTCTTGAACTGACAAATGTATCAGGCTAGTTCTCAAAGCTACCAACTCCCATGAGTTGTTTTCTTCCTGCATGTAAAGCATTTTGGGGTCCTGCTGTTCTTAAAGTATAAGTGAGATGAAGGCTTCTCCTTTCTCTTCTGTCTCCCATTATTGGATACCAGATGTGGCTTTGACCAGTAAGTGTCTTGTGCTGGGAAACAAACATGCTAGAGGAGTATATTATGTACTTTAATAAAACAAAACAAAAACAACCTTGCCCTTCTCGGTCAGCTTTCACATGAGGCACCAAGTAAGTCCTTTTTATAAGCCGGTGCTTTTTGTCAGCTTATAAAGGGCTTAAACCTCTGCTCTCATCTTACTTTCAGAGAGGGAAGAGAGAAAAGGCAGCCCCCACTTCTATTTAAAATAGTTGCAGCAGCCTGCCAATCCCGCTTAACATGTTGTGTTTCTCTCCAGTAATCTGATTCTCAGGTTTAGTTC